ACATTCCAAAATCACTCATAATAATGAAGTTCACATCAGATAAATTGCTGGAGTCAGAATGGACAAACATCTGGTTTATTCATCCCTAGCTATACTAACAAAAAAATATGATATCCTGTTAGATAAATCACTGATCATCCTAGTTTATCTTGGCGGTTGTGCACATGGGTATTTTTCACTTAAACAAGAACGTATCAGTGCTTTACAGCTAGCATGCCTCCAGCTCCAGGTTCACAGTTCATGTGCTTCTGTGACTTTGAACTCTTCTTTTCCTGAGTTTACCAGCCGGCAGCTGCACCAGAACAGATATGTTTACATGCAGGGAGTAAATGGCAGCTTGCAGCTCAGAGTTTCCATTTCCTTTTACATTGTTTAGGAATCCAGGCTCACAATTCGTGTACTAAAGCTTCACCTCGCATGTATGCATCTGCCTGGGCCCTTTAGAGTACAAATGTTTTGTTTTGACATTGATTTGTTGATAGAAAGGGCTGAGCTGGGAGAAGCTACTTTCACTAGAAATTACCCCCAGTTTACATGAAGTTCAATTGTGGGTGAAATATCTTCTTAAAAAAATTCTAAACATCACTTTCTGTAAGGCTTTTAAGCAGTATGTAAATGGGAGGCTAATGTGGAACCACTTAATGCAACTATAGCATGATAGATGTATGTTTAGGCGGAGAAAAATTACGTTTTGTATTAAGCATGACGATGAAATCTGATTAGCTGCTTAAACCATGACACTGACTATTTAAGCTATTGTCATGCATAGGTGATAAAATATTCCCAGATGTGCTTGGCAAGGCAGTAATTCCATGAAGAGGTTATGGTAATTATGAACAAGAAACAAAACCATCAGAGGGATTTGTTCATTTGCCTGAACCCTCAAGTGGAATTAGAGACTTCAGTGAAGAGTATCAATTGTTCTGGCTTTATACCACCCGACAGACTTCTCATCATCACTAATTCCATGTTTATGAGCTTTTCCTTCCCCTTTTGTACCTGATTTGGATATTTTTGGTTCTTGCTCTGAATGAAAACTATGGTTTGTTGGTTATTTCGGTAGCTGAATGGAGTGAAGTAGATGTTATGGAAATGACCTGTAGAAAGACCTGTAGTAATTGTGTGTTGTGTTTTGACTACTGTTGTTTTAAAACTAGATTCTCCAGTTACCCTGGTGTGTTAAGGTGAGCCTTGCTTTTGGTCACCCTTATATGCATCTTTTATGAGAAGAAATTATTTGAACTTATTGGGGCATTTTGATGCCGTTTACTTCTTCTGATATATGTCTATATTAATTGCTAGATTTGACCTGTGACCCACTACTAAAAGTAATGTAATGGTAGAGCACTGCTGGTACATGAAATTTTAATTTTTAATCTTCATTCTAATGTCCCTTATGATACTTGGGCTATAAAACTGAAGCATAAAATCAAACAACAGAGTATTTGTTGAATTAGGTTTTGCACTCTGTATGACCATGCAGTGAGAGCCCAGGGAGCTGTACTCACTGAAAATTATACCCAGAAAATAACCTTTTAGTGCATGTCCAGGTCATTGTCCAGTCTCATCAGTGCAAGAAGGGGATCCAGAATGCAAAGCAAGGCCTGGGACTTGAAAATCCCTGATCTGGGTCACCACGTGTTGCCATGGGGTTGTGTTCTTAGGCTGGAAGTGCAAATACCTGTATGGGTTCTGTGAGCTTGCTGAAGGCAAATCATTGATGTCTTTACTTTCATTAGACCTGCTGTGTTTGTGGCCAGGAAATCAAAGCAAGCCATTAACACGGGGCCAACATCATCCTGTCTCTTACAAACCCCCTACCTGCTTGCAGGGGCTCAGGGGGCTGGGAAATGGCCACTTGGCAGGGGACAGGATGGAGAGGCTTTCAGGGAGGGGACCTGAAGCTGGGTGAAGACTCTGTGTAGCCAAGTAGAAGTGGCTGCATCACCAACTTCCCTTCAGTTGTGGTGCAGCAGCAGACCACATCTGCTTAGGTAGATGTTTGTTCCCAAAATTTTCGTCAGTTCACATGTAACCTGTAATTGCCTTCTGTTGACAAACCATGTGTGAGAAATGATAACCCAAATAAGTGAACCCGTGTGTTACTTTATATTTCTGTTGTTACATTTAAATCAATTCACTGTTTTATCTCATAATCTCTAAATGCAGACTAGCTCGAAACTTCCCATTTAAAGTCTGTATTTGTTTTTCATTGACGCTTTCGTTTGAAAGCAGGAAACAATCTGAAAGTAATTGTATTAAGTGTTTCAGCACAAAGATTTTAAAATATAATAGCTTGGCATATTGCTCTATCTCCTCACTATTCCTCAGAGGAAATAAAATGGAGTTAGCAACTTTCATCCAGGCAGCTTTTCTACTACATCCTGTTTCCTTCCGCGCACTGGAGAAAGCACCGACATTCCTCTCCCTTTCCTCCCCTTCCAGAGAAGGAATCCCGTTCTCCCTGTTGTAGTGCTCACCCTGGGTGAACGCTGGGGTTCTGTTGGCTTTGCAAAGGTTGAGAGAGGATTTGGGTTGTTTAGGAAAATGCGCGTTTTGCCCTCCATATCAAAGGAAATCATTGCAAAGAATAGAGCAATACACACAGCCCTCTGGATTAAGTGCCCCTATGCAGCTTTCCTGGGGGTTTGCCCTGGCTGCTTGGGCTGCCTGAAGTGTGTGGAGCACCTCCCGGAGAGCCCTAAAGGGCTGTGTGTGCTGTTACTGGGCTTGCTGGGAGCCTGAAATCACTGCTTCTCTCTCACTGAAAGGTAGACTTGCAGTCCCCCTTTTCTCTAAGGAAAACTGACCCTTGAAAAGGTTTGGCGTGAAGAGGATTAACTCCCTGGAAACTTTGTTTGGAAATGTTAGGAGACTGCTATGTGTATACGCTGGCAATCTCCCTAAGAGACAAATTATTTTCCCACCCTCTCAAGTACTTGGTAGTTTATCTGTTGTTTATATTAAAGATTGATCATGGTTATATATTCCTGACTCAGAGTTCTCATTAATCACACTGTGCCACACCGGAGACTGGAGAAGAAGAATGGGGCTTACTGGAAAGTAGGCATGTGATCCCTGACTCTGCTTTTAATATGACTTATTCTAACATTAGCTTTGTTCCCCTGACTTATTGTGTTTGTGTAAACCTCTTTTTTTTGGGGGGGGGGGGGTTTGTTTTTTTTTTTTGTGGGGGTTTTTTTTTTTTTTTTGTTTGTTTGTTTTTTTTTTTTTTTTTTTTTTTTTGTGGTTGGACTCG